TACTGGAGGTCTTGCTGAGCGTCGTGAGCCTGCGTCTCGTCCTGCGTCGCCTGTCCGTGCTGCTCGCACGAGTGGTCGTGGTTCGCGTCAGCGTCCTCCGCCTGTCCCCGGCACGCACCGGATGTCTCTGCGTCCTTCCACTGCTCCGTTACGTGCCCCTTTGCCTTCTCCTCCCGAGTCCTCTCTTCCTGCTCTTGCTGACCCGGAGTCGGACTCCCTTTGTGCTGCCAGTCCTAGTGTCACGCGTCTTCTTGCTACTGTCGTCGCTGACCCTTCCTTTGAGTCCACTGCTGCGTCTGCCTTAGTTGCTGAGCTTGTCGACTTCGCTGCTCACTGTCGTCTAGACTACGCCTCTAGTCTTGTTGCTGAGTCTGAGTCTGTCTGTCCTCCGTCCGTCAAGGGTGAGTGTGCTCTTAGCACGGACGTCCTTGAGGACAGGCAGGAGGAGTTCCAGTGTTTTGCTGCTGCTTTGCCTCATCTCGTGTCCATGCTGATTGCCCCTGAGGGAGACCCGGATGCACCAGACATCCCGACTCCTCGATCGTACGCTGAGGCGATCGAGGGTCCCTACTCCTCACAGTGGCAGTCAGCCATGGACGCAGAGATGGCTTCCTGGAAGTCCACAGGCACCTACGTCGACGAGGTTCCCCCACCTGGGGCGAACATCGTCAGTGGCATGTGGATTTTCAGGGTGAAGCGGCCGCCGGGTTCTCCGCCTGTCTTCAAGGCGCGTTACGTGGCTCGAGGCTTCAGTCAGCGACAGGGAGTTGACTACTTTCAGACCTTCTCCCCCACCCCGAAGATGACCACTCTTCGGGTGCTACTGCACATAGCCGCTCAGCGCGACTACGAGCTTCACTCTCTTGACTTCAGCACAACTTTCTTGCAGGGCAGCCTGCACGAGGAGATCTGGCTGCGCCGCCCACCTGGCTTCACTGGGTCGTTTCCTCCTGGTACCCAGTGGAGCCTCCGGCGGCCGGTCTACGGTCTCCGCCAGGCGCCCCGTGAGTGGCACGACACACTGAGGACTACACTTGCGGCTCTTGGGTTTGCTCCTTCTACTGCCGACCCGTCGCTGTTTCTACGCACCGACACCTCTTTGCCGCCGTTCTACATCCTCGTGTACGTCGACGACTTGGTCTTTGCCACTGCTGACAATGCTGGACTCGCCCACGTGAAGTCCGAGCTGCAGAAGAGACACACGTGCACAGACCTGGGTGAACTGCGCAGCTACCTTGGCCTGCAGATCACCCGGGACAGAGCACAGTGCACCATTACCCTGACTCAGTCACACATGGTGCAGCAGGTCCTTCAGCGCTTCGACTTCACGTACTCCTCGCCTCAGACCACTCCTCTGTCTACTCGCCACTCGCTCTCAGCTCTGCCTTCGGATGAGTCCGTAGAGCCGAGTGGCCCGTACCCAGAGCTTGTTGGCTGCCTCATGTACCTGATAACCTGCACTCGACCTGACCTTGCATACCCTCTTAGCATCTTGGCACGCTATGTTGCTCCTGGGAGACACCGACCAGAGCACATGGCTGCAGCGAAGAGGGTGTTGCGCTACTTGTGCAGTACGTCGGGCATGGGGCTAGTGCTTGGAGGGCGGCATTCAGTGGTCCTCACAGGTCACGCAGACGCTCCTTGGGCTGACGACCAGGCTACGCAGCGGTCGTCACAGGGTTACACCTTCAGCCTTGGTTCCGGCTCTGTTTCGTGGCGGTCTACCCGCTCGTCTTCTGTTCTCGGCTCCAGCTGTGAGGCTGAGATCTACGAGGGGGCCATGGCTGCACAGGAGCTACGCTGGCTTACCTACCTGCTGAGTGACCTAGGAGAGCCGCCTCGTTCTCCTCCAGTTCTGTACGTAGACAACAAGGCCATGCTGGCCTTGTGTCGGGAGCACAGACTGGAGCACAGAACGAAGCACATTGCTCTTCGCTACTTCCTTGCTCGTGAGCTGCAGCAGCGTGGTCAGCTGCGACTTGCTTACGTGGCCTCTGAGGCCAACACTGCTGATATCTTTACCAAGGCACTTCCGCCTTGTGATCATCAGCGCTGCTGTACGATGCTAGGTCTTGTGCCTACTTGGCCTCACTTGCTCACTTCTTGACCTTGCTTGTACTGTGATCTTTCTATACCTGCATGTTTACCTTTATATATGATCTTGCATGTGAACTGGCCTTGTGGCCTTGAACTTGTGCTCGGAATGTGTGGTGACGTTGTAATCCACCCTGAGCTTGCTTTGCTTTGCTTGACTGGTCTTGTGACCCCTTGTTCTCCCCCACTTTGCCTATGGGGGTGTGTCAGACTTATATGACTTAGCCTATGTAGGCTATAATGGGGTAGCACATATGGGGTACAACACATTTCTAGGGTTTGTACTTGTACCCAACCTGTTCCCTTAGTCAACCATTCCTCATTTCTTCACAGGCTTCGCGGACTAAACGAGATGTGCAGGGCGGAGGCTGCACTTTTCGACGACCCGGCCCTTGTAAATAAAGTGACACAGGTCTGGGTACTTCAACGTCTCATGTTGACGAAGCAGTTCGAGAGATTCCTCGAGCGAGTATTGTTGAAAACATCCTTTCATGTTTACTATACGTGCTTTTCGCCAAAACACTCACAATTTTTCGTGCTCGGGCCCAGGGAATGCATCGACCGTCACCGCAGAAGACAGGATGACACATATTCTCTGGACGAGTTTCACCACATGATGCAAGTGTCATTACCCATGGATGCTGCGAACAACTGGAAACCTTACAACCCAGAGCCATCAGCGAAAATCTACAGAGCACTTCTCACTAAAGTCATGCTTCTCACGTGCCATCACACCCTGTCCCGCGCGGATAGCATTCGCGCTGCATAGCTACCAGACCTGTCTTTCGAAGAATTGGGTGCAATGTCGGCACTTAATCTAGTTCGCAAAGCTTTGGTGATGACCATCAACAGCCGAAGCGGAAAGACAAACCATAAATTTCGACTCCAACGCCACGATTCGACGCGGCACATTGACTGCAACCTCTGCCCCTTCAGAAACATGCTCCTTCTGCTTCACTGGCTCTACAACGTGGCTCCCAACTTTCATTAGCTGCCGCCACCGGAACTGAACTTCGGAGATTCGAAACAATGGCACAAGGCCTACCTTTTCTGGTCGCTGAAAAGGGGCAACAAAGAGGTGCATACAAAGAGGCGCTAATCAAGATTTCGTGCGTCACACATGGGCCATGTGCATCTAATGCAAATATTCTCCGCATGATGGGGATTCACGACGACGAAATTCAAAAGCAGGGCAACTGGAAAACGGACCCGATGATAGTCCACTATGTGACAAGCGTGGCAAGGAAGGCGGTGCTCGGGAGATCCAAGGTTCCGCCCTTGAAAAACCCCCTTGACACGATCAGACAGCAAATCTTTCCGTGGATTGAAGATCAACTACAAAGGATAAGAGGGTTTGAGTTGATTTGCCGCTGCAACGAATTGGCACGAATTTGTTGCGTCTGCTTTGAATTGATTTTCCCTTTCCTCACGGTGTTGTTTCAGGCGCGGGACTACAACGATTCATGCAACGAACGTGGGCGGCGTAACATGGGCGCCATACACCTGCTTCAGGCACTTCCGAAATGGGGTCGCCTTATTGTGGTGGAGAATCTGGCGATGATGTTCGTGCTCAATCGGAACTATGCGAGGACCCCGAGTTTCAACATTGGGCGCGGGTTGTCGCTTGGCGTGAAGCGGTCGGACTTGCTCTGTAAGCAACAGCGACACCTTGTACCGAAGTTTTGAGCGTCTGATCCATGTCAGGACCGCGTGCTAGAGAACCACATTAACACTCCTATATTTGCTTTGCGTGTTGTGCGCTCAGGAAATAAATGTTCGCGTCCACGCGGAACATCGCGCAAGACAGCTTCAGGCGGAGTTGAACCGGGAGAAGTCAGCCCACGCAAATGACATCGTCAAGCTCAAAGCCGCGGAGGATTCCAACGCGGAGCTGCAAGCCCGTTGTGAGGCTCTTGAGACTGAGAACAGGCGGCTTCAACAGGAGCTGAAGAAGCGCCCAGCGCGGGGGGAAGGTGGCTCACGGACCAATGTGACGCACGCCGAAGGAGATCCACCGACCTCGGCCGAGGAAAAAGAGAACGACAAAAAGGGGAAAGAGAGCGATGCGCCTCCACTTTTCGCGGACGACGAGGCATTCAAGAATGAAATGATCAGACCTTGGCGCCTAACAAAGAACATCGCGTCTGCTTGGAGCTTGTGGGACACGCAACATGGGTCCGCGGGGAGAACGCTGCGGAAGGAGTACACCACCAACGTTGGATGGATCGCGCGATTTGCGCGCGGGGAGGAGCCCAGCGATGAGGCTGCAAAGCAGCGAATGTACCGTGTGAAAAGGGTGATGGACGCGGTGACGGAGTATGCGGCTAGAGAGACCAGCGGAGGAAAGGATGATGTCGTTGAGAAACTCGTGGGCATGTCGTTCTCAACGCTGACAAGTGGTTTGACCGTGCGATCAGCCCCAGTCTGCGAAAGCACGCTCGCGGATCTCATGAAGAGCGACTAGAAGAAGCTTCATCTGCGGGCTGTAATGTTGCTGGTGCAAAAAGGGCTCAAAGCACACGAGTGGGCAGAGAGACTCTTCCCCAACGCATGGAAAGAGTTTGTGAAAGCCGAGGCTGATAAAGCAGATGCCACGTCGAAAAAGCGCCCTAGACAGGAGTAGTTTAGGGTGACGATCCAAGCTCACGAAACTTTTCGTGCAGGCGTGTTTGTATGCATGAGGCTTTTCTGAATTCAAGATGCGTACGTTCGCCTTTTCCCGTGCCCGCACGGTTTTCTGTGCAAATAGAATCCAACAAGTTATACAATTCCTACCCCAATCACGCGGAAACACTATACACGTGTCCGAACGAACAAACATCACACACTAGCATAAGCAGCAACAAATCCACGGAAAACAAAACAGCACCAAAAATCGCATGGACCACTGACATCCCGCGGTATTCTCAGGCCAACTCATCGTGAGCCTCTGATCCCTCCAGCATTAATGTGTCGTCATCCTTGTCTTCCCCATCACTGTGCTCCGCCTCCTCGCCCTTCTTCTCATCCTTCTCGCTCTTCTCATCCTTCTCGCCCGGGTCCCCATTTTTGCCCTTCCCACGCGTCCCCTTTTTTTTCAGGCATTCCATATAAAGGCCCACACCTTTGGTGGCCAGAAACACGGATGAATCGTAGTTTCAGATGACCACGACCTGGATCAGCTGATGGACGAGAACCTTGTCGGTCATGTCGAGCTCTTCCCCATACAACTTCAAAACCCTCTTCTCGATGCTCGCCGCGGCCTCCAACTTATCACCTTGGCGTTTTCAGATGGCCAAGAACACGTATGTCCAGCACACCTGCAAACCCTCTAGGTCATCCGCGGTCGCGCCACACACCTTTGCAGCGGCTGAGCCACTTTTGACCGCGGCAGCACGAACCTCCTCGGTAACTCCTTTCCAGGCCGTTCTCGCACCACCTGCCGTGTTGCTCCAGGTATACTCCACGGTCAAACTCCACACAGCACCAAACGCGAACGCGACCGCGGCCGCGAAAAGCATCTTCTGAGCTTTCCCTTTCACTTTCCCATAATCGTCCGTGACTTATAGCCCAGCTGCAGCACATAGCGCGGACTGGACTGTGTGGTCCGAATCCGCTTCCACAAGTTCGTAACATTTTTTGAAAATGTTGACCATCCTGCGGCACATAGAAAAAGCAAGGGAGTTAGCACCACATGGTTGAAACAGAATTCAAATAAACCCTGCACGCGCTAGCGCGTCGTACCTCTTGTGGTTCCCTGCCAGTTTCTACAAGAAAAGAGTTGAATTTAGGCCCGCGTTCACCTTCCGCGCCAGCTCCAGATCATCTTCCCACTTGGCTTCCTCTTGATCCGTGAGCACCAACTCAACTCTCTGAACCTGGTTGTGCCACATGGTCTGTGCCACGGCAGACAAGTAGCAGGCAGACACAGCACGCGCAAACGAGCCGAGATAGAAGTGAGCCCCATCGTGATGAAGCTCAATCGAGAACGAGTTTTTGTTCCCTGGAGTAAAGCGGACTCCGACCATCGGCGTCTGTGTGGCCGCAACATTCTTATGTCCCCCCTGCTCAGCCCCCGTCTCGATGCACAGCTGCTCCTTCGGGTCCTTGGCATTTGCACTCCCACGACCAGCTGCTTTCGCCGCCGCCCAAGCCGCAAAAAACCTTTTCCGCGAGTCCATTGCTTCCGCATCCTCGTCGTCTGAAATTTCTACTGTCCCCTCGTTCTTGCCCTCTGCAAAGGCCAGCCTCGCAGCCGCAACTCCACCGTCCTTCACAGCAGCACCCGCGGTAGAGGAATCTTTTCCCGCAGCCTTCGATCTCTTCGCGCGGTTCCCAGCCTCGCCTTCGGCACCCTGCGGTACAGTGCACTTCTCCTGACGCGCAGACTCACCACCTCCTGATAGGATCAGCGGGAGGTTCGTGTCAGCCGCTGGACCAGCTCCGGGTGTGGGAATCCGACCCGCAGGCTGCTCGGGGCCGGCAGCAGGCCCAGAGTTACCCGCGAAGGATCCCATCACGGTCCTCAGTATCATAGCCCCCGCGCTCGCACCACGCTCCGCCGCGTTCGCAACAAAGTTTTCTAAGCCGACGAGCTTCTGCCAAACCTCCGCGCGGGTCCGCTCCGCGGCAGTGTTGATCGCGGAAAATATCATGAACTTCAACTCCACCACTGCGGCCTCAACGCGTGCACGTGTGAGCGCCGCCGTCTCCCTTTGCGAGGTCGCGTTCGCCCTCTCCACGCGTATCTCCTGGACCGCGTTAGCAACATCCTTGCATCCGCTCTTATCCGATTCTTCGACGCGGGTCACAAGGCGGTTCATGGTCCTCAATGCCCGTTCAAAACTGGCTTGGGTCTCGTCCGCGCTGCCCATCATCTCCGACAACGTCTCCCGGTGCTGTGCCAACTGCCTTTCTTGCGTCTTGGCCAACTCCTTCAGCCGACGGACGTCGGCCTCGAGACGCATCACCTAGTGCGCAAGCGTGAGCGCCGGCAGCTTGGAGAGCTGTTCGACGGAGCGGTTGCCGCGGTTGTTCGGCCATTTTCCACCGCTACCACTACCACTAGCATTTTCGAAAAAGTCGAAGTCCTCTTTAATCAAGATGTCCTTGTTCTTGCCAGCAAGACGAACAGTTGCTCCACCGGCCACGATAACAACGTCGTGACCCTTTAGAACTTCCATGGGATCCACGAGATTCCTTCGTTTGCAAAGCATCCTGCACACGCGAAAATGCGGGAAACATCATCAGAGTAAACACACGCGAAAACACACTCCGCGGAAAAGTAGCACGCAGCCGGGGCCACGCGGAAACACGATAGAAATCGCCATACGCGGAAACGGAAACGTAGGAAAACAACAGAAGAAGACGGGCCCGTGGAAAGATGCGGAAACGGATGGATGTTGGGCACGTAAGAAAACAGCACGCGGTAACGATCGCAAGAAACCAATAGTGAAAAGCAATCGCGATTTCCGAAACGAGAGTTAATGAAGACACGCAGCGGAAACTGATGAGGCAGAAGCAAGAACGAAGCAAGTCGAACATACCTGCCAACGATTCCGCGGCCGACCACCCGCGTGAAACAATCCAGCCGTGCATAACGGTTCTCAAATCAACAGTCATAGCGTGAACGCATACCTTCCAACAGCGTCGAAAGCAGAGATATAGATAAAGGTTTGCGCAGAGAGCCGACCGAGAGGGATGACGAAAGAGTGAAGAAACGCAATGGAAACGCAAAACAAAACACAAAAATGAGACTAGGAGGGCCTCCTATACCTCCTTTCGCCCTCCTGCCCCCTTTCTCGAGCGGAGCATCCCAACGCCCGTCGGCCCAGGAGTAAGTCGGACGGGTGCCACGCGTCCACCCGATAGCACTCACTCGAACTGTAACATCGCGCATCCTCTTTCGAACGTTTTGTTTAACTCTGCCGTTTAACCCTGTTTTTGTACAAAAACGCACACACCAAAAATACAAACTCCAAGAAAGAATGCGGGAGTTGTATCTTAACGTAGTTACGAGTGTCTCGCGGGCTGTTATGTGTGCTTATCCCAAGTGTTCTTCTCCAGCGTGAAAGGGTATTCGTTTGGATTTTTATTTCAAGGAAACAGTACGGAGAACCGAAGCACGAAATATACACTGAGAGATTCTGGGGGTGTGGCTCGCAGGGTGCATTTTTCGCGCGCGTGTTCCTTGGTGCGCTCTTGGTGAGGCTGACGAGGCCTCGGAGGCCCGGGCCGGGCCTCGCAGGCTCGCAAGCGGCGAAATCGCGCGCATCGGCGGAAATCGCGTTTCTCTCAAAAGAATCGACTCAAATTGCTCCCCCCTCGCCACGTCGGCGTTTTTCTGAATTGAATGGACCGCCTTTCTCCCCGGCTCCCCAACCCATTTTTCCCGCCCTTCCACTCCGAAATTCGGGCAGCCGTGTCTACTCGCGTGAACTTCGGAAGTGCCACAACCAGTCACGAAAAACAGCCAACCACCCTCATGCCACAGCGTTCAAGTTCATGTGGGATGCCACATCATATTTCCCAACAATCTTTCGATAATTTCAGGGCCTGGATTTGGAACTCGCGAGGCTTATATGCAGGTTGATTGTATCGTGTCTTTTGGGATTTGCCCATGTCATTGCCCGCCAACATGGACTCATGATCCAAGCGATCGTAAACTTCAACGGTTCATGAGCCCGAGCATTAGCATCCTGTCTGTGTGTCTATTAGCCCTGGTTCCCATTTTTTGGTACCTGCTAGACAATGAACGCAGTCATACCTTTAGGCTTAGCGACACTAATATCCGGGTCGGCATTAGTACTCCATTTAATAGTCCTATCTACTATCTGACAAGACTCTTCACCATGTAGTGTCTAACGCCTGCGTATGGCCTCCAATCCCTTAGCGCAGGCCTTGCGACAGCTTAATGCGGCTCCCGAGTCCAGCCCTAGGTACGACAGGCCTAACAATTACGCGCCATTGGAGCTGGAGGGCCTGTACTCTAGCTGTGATAAATGCAAGGAGGCCGTTTATGCATATGCACTAGAGCACCGGTTTGGTGTAAAAGTTCTTTTGGTCAAGCATAACTATGCAGTGGTTGGGTGCGAGGCCACATCGGACGGCTATTTACCGGCGTGCCTATGGAGCTGCGCATACGGTCAAATCGGCCACGGTGGCCTATGGCGCATTACTCGCCTGGTTCCTCCGGAGATGCATAAATGTCCATTGGATTGGAGGCAGGGTTACGCCGAGGGGTTAGCCAACACTATTCCCATCTTGTCTCGGCGATTCGGCAATTTGGTCCGCGCAAATCCATTCATCTCACCCGTAGAGCTCAAGAGAATGCTCGAGGGTCATGGGAACGTAGTGATCCACTACTGGCAGGCTTGGCGGCTTCGAGAGTACAACTTAAGAGCGTTATGGATATTGGAAGGAGTCGTTTTGCTAGGTTCCATGGATTCTCAATCGTTTCACTGTCATCGATCCGGAAGTTCAAGTGCGGTTGGACACATTAGGAGGGTGTTTTCACCAATTCTACGTGCATCCCTCTGCAGCACGGCATGCGTTAAATTACTGCCGCCCTGTCGTTGCGCTCGACGGCACACATCTCATTAGTGCGCAAAAGGATGTGCTGCTCATCGCCGTCACCATTGACAAAAACCAGGAAATTTTGTTACTTGCATGGGCCTTGGTGGAGTCGGAGAACATGGACGCTTGGACCTGGTTTCTCAAGCTGTTCCTTGAGGGTTTCCCGGAGTGGGGGCAGAGAGACAATGCGTCCATTATCAGCGATTGTGATAAGTGGTTGGTGCCGGCAGCAAGGGAGGTGATGCCAAGCCACATCCCACATTATTTCTGTGCCTGGCATCTGGAGCAAAACCTTAAGCAGTTCGGCAAAGTGGCAACGGCGTTCTTCTGGCACCTGGTGAAGTGTCGATGTGAAACGAAATGGGTTGCGCTTGTCGGGGCCGCACGACGAGATTTTCCAGACATGGCGGCCTATCTCTTTGGACCTGTCCGACAGCAGCAACAGCCACAACCCCAGCCGGCTCCTCCGGTCCCCCCTTTTGGAGCCTGGGCAACATATGAGGGGGCCAGGGAGTTTGTGTTCGCGGGTGCTCGCGAAGGGAGGAGGGCACAGCGAGGGCAGGGGCGTGGTGGCAACGCGAGAAATGGTGGCGTGGACAGCGCATCCCAACCCGTCAGGAGTGGGTTCCCGGAGGGCAACACGTCCGCGTACGACAGGCGTGGTGGTGGTCTAGCTGGCAGGGGTGGGATGAACGCACCGGGAAGACGTGCCAGAGCGCACGAGGGTATTGGAGTCCCATCAGGGATTCCTGACGAAGGGGATGGCGTAGGGGTTGGTTTTGGCATCGGCCGTGGAGGGCGTGGTCGAGGCTTTGCTTCATCTGGACGTGGTCGCAGAGGGAGAGGCGGTGGCGTTGCAGGGACGGGTCTTGGCAGGGGAGGTAGAGGAGTGCCCCTTGGGGGCGATTGTGGAGAGCAGGGGGGTGGCGGACCAGAATTTACTGGGGTTGGTGATGGAGGAAGGGGAGTGCCGCTCCGTGGGGCCACCGGGGAGCAGGGGGGTGTCGGTGAAGGACGGTCCGGCATTGGAGGTGGAGGGAGGGGAGTCCCGCTTGGTGGGGCTCCTGGAGGGAAGGGGGGTGCCGGAGCAGGATGGTCCGGCATTGGAGGTGGAGGGAGGGGAGTCCCGCTGGGTGGGGCTCCTGGAGGGCAGGGGGGTGCCGGAGCAGGATGGTCCGGCATTGGAGGTGGAGGGAGGGGAGTCCCACTTGGTGTGGCTCCTGGAGGGCAGGGGGGTGCCGGAGCAGGATGGTCCGGCATTGGAGGTGGAGGGAGGGGAGTCCCGCTTGGTGGGGCTCCTGGAGGGCAGGGGGGTGCCGGAGCTTGATGGTCCGGCATTGGAGGAGGAGGGAGGGGAGTCCCGCTTGGTGGGGCTCCTGGAGGGCAAGGGGGTGCCGGAGCAGGATGGTCCGGCATTGGAGGTGGAGGGAGGGGAGTCCCGCTGGGTGGGGCTCTTGGAGGGCAGGGGGGTGCCGGAGCAGGATGGTCCGGCATTGGAGGTGGAGGGAGGGGAGTCCCACTGGGTGGGGCTTCTGGAGGGCAGGGGGGTGCCGGAGGAGGTTGGTCCGGCATTGGAGGTGGAGGCAGGGGAGTCCCACTTGGTGGGGCTCCTGGAGGGCAGGGGGGTGCCGGAGCAGGATGGTCCAGCATTGGGAGTGCGAATGGAGGGGAGCCGCTATTCGGCGCAGGAGCAAGAGATAGTGTTTACGCTATGAGCGGCGAGGTGGTAGGGTCTGGATCCAGTCCTCAGAATGCTGGACCCAGGCTAGACCAAAGAGGGCGACGCGGTGATGTTAGGTTTGGTGTGGGATCCGGGTATAAGGCCTAGGCGCGGATTTCAGGGGCGGGGTGGGGTCCGTTGGAAGGGGGTCCTCACCCGGGCCCGCTGGGGACGATGTGCAGCGTGCTCCAGCGTCTAGGAGTGATGATGGTTTAGCCTCCTGGTGTTAGAAGGAAATGCTGCCATGAGCAACAAAATGTCTGCGCTGGGATTCGAACTCGTGACCTTCAAATCTGTCCTAGAAGTGTCTCAGGACAGATTCAGGACAGTTTCTTCTAAGGGGCTGGTTATGGTGCACACGAGTTTCGAACTGGAGACCTTTTGATTCAAGTGTCCCGACGGAAATTCTCGTCTACGGAATTCTAGTCAATGGAATTCGCTCGGCGAAATTCAAGGCTCCGAATTTCGCGTCGACGAAATTCAACGTGCGACCCGGGTCGACACTTTCTTGTGTGCTTTTATTTTGTATTGCGTCCTAGTATAAAACCAGAGAGCACAAACCAGAAATCAACCAAGTCATTATCACTGCTATGTTTGTGTGTATAGAGGCTATAGTGGACCGTTTCCAGCAATCTTTGGTGCATGAGAATCGGGCATTCAAGCTCTATCAAGCTGCTATAATAGTGGAATTCTACATGGTAACAGAGCTGCGTTATCTGCGTCTATCCAACTAGCGGCTTGATTTCGTCCTCCCATCACTTCGTTCCCACATTGGTGTGGCTGACGCTCGTTTTGACTCCGCATGGAGTGGTTATCGAGCACTGAGGTCTTAATGACCGTCAGGAGCTGGAGGCGTCCATTCGTGAGTACCACCCTCACTTGCGTGATGAGGAGGTAGACCTCATTGTGGACGGCCGTCTACTACGCATGGTTCGGGAGCGCACGGCGGAGCAAGCACCTGCGAGCGGCCAGCAAGGAGAAACTGGTATGGAGGAGCTGTGCTCGCAGCTCCAACTGCCGTGGGCATTAGCGGATGAGCTGTTGCACCGACCACTGACGCGGGATTGATAGGGACGAGCTACAGTCAATTCAAGTTTGGAGTTGAACACATCTCGGTGACGCCGCTACTGGAGGGAAGGCACGACCTTACCGCGTCGGTCAGCGCCATCCGACCTCAGCTCCAGTGTGCTGATTTGTGGCAGTTTTGCAATGGGACAGCACCAAGCCCGGTGCCGAACAGCCCCTTGCATCGAAGGGAGTACGCAAAGGGCCAAATACTTGCATTCATGGTGATGAACCGATGTGTTTCTCGACCCATCCGAATGTCCATCTCTGGTTTCTCTCAGCAAGAGAAAGCCGGGCAGCTAGCATGAGCATATATCTTGTCTACTTATCAAGTTCGTGATGCCCTCCACGCTTCCCTACTTCAGACCCAGTTAGCCCAACTCAGGAAGGGAGATGATGAGACGGTGGAATCCTACTGCAATAGGGCCCGCACCATCCGAGCGGAGCTGCTGACATAACGGTGGAACGCGTGTGCAGCGAGGTGTTGATGGAGGAGCAGACTCTCTTTATCGAACAGAGTTACAAGCAGATCACCAGCAATGCATCTACTTTCTCGGGCGCTGTCAACACCATCGTGGCTACAACGGGGGTCAACGGGAAGGAAAGAAAAGGGGAAGGGAGCAAACGGACAAGAAGAAGGATGGCAAGCGGGAGAAGAAGCGAGCCCCCTTCAAGGGGCGCTGCTACAACTGCAATGAGGAGTGCCCCAACAAGAAGAAAGATACAACGCCCGCGGCAGCCGCGAACGTAGCTGAAGGAGACGGGAAGGGCGTGGCGATCACCGTCGCGTGTTCGGCTGCAAAGTTGCTGGCCGACGACAAGGACTTGTGGTTCCTTGACTCAGGATGCTCCCAACACATGACCGGCCGCAAGGAGTGGTTCACGGTGATCCGTGACCCATCTGCAACGAAATCAGTCAAAGGGTTTTATGGTTCTATGCAGGAAGTTGCCGGTGTTGGTGAGGTTTTGCTAGAGGGCACTAACGGCTTGCGTGTGACCCTACATGATGTCCTCTTTGTGCCAGGAATGAAGGCCAACTTGGTCTCCCCTGCAAACCGAGGAAGGTGTCACTTGCATCATCGCATCAGGTCAAGTGGCTGCAACGGCATGATACCGCCATCGCCTTCACTGCCTTGACCTGAAACCGGGGCCAGCAAGGAACGGTGCAACGGCTGCAGCGGCATGCACCGATATGGCGGGTGGAGCGGCGAGCAACAATACAGGGGCTGCAACGGCAAGCAACGGCACGGCGAAGGAGATTGCTGATGTGGCTTCAAGCAAGCCGGAAGCTAAAGATGGAGCGGCCAGCCTCAAGACGTATGCGGGCTCCAAGGCAACGCCCAACCTGTGGCATGCTCGCCTTGGACACGTCCACTTCGATGCGGTGAAGCAGACAGCCACGAGTAGTGGCGTGTTCGGTATGGACCTGGAGAAAGGAGGTGAGGATATGCTGTGCACCTCCTGCCATGAAGCCAAACTCACTCGTGAATCATTTCCGCTGCACGACGAGCGAGAGGTACTTGGGCTGGTCCATTCTGACGTGTGCGGTCCATTTCAGACCCTAGCCATGGATGGAAGCAGGTACTACATTCTTTTTGTCGACCACGCCTCACGTTACACCTGGGGGAAGACGTTGAAGCTGAAGAGCGACGCGCTTGCTGCCTTCAAGGAATGGCTTCCCGAAGCTGAACGCCAAACCGGGATGACGCTGAAGGTGTTGCGGTCGGACTGGGGAGGGGAGTTTATTTCGAATGAGTTTCTGTTGCTGCTGAAGCAACGAGGAATTTTACGTCAACTTTTCTGCCCCTCAACCCCCCAGCAGATTGGTGTGGCTGAACGCCACAACCGTACGGTAACCGAGGGCATGCGTGTGATGTTGGGGCACATGAGAAGGAAATGCTGCCATGAGCAACAAAATGTCTGCGCTGGGATTCAAACTCGTGACCTTCAAATCTGTCCTGAAAGTGTCTCAGGACAGATTCAGGACAGTTTCTTCAAAGTGGCTGGTTATGGTGCACACGAGTTTCGAACTGGAGACCTTTTGATTCAAGTGTCCCGAAAGTGTCTTGTCAGGACAGATTGGGGACAGTTTGGCGAAATCGATCTCGGGTCACGTTCGGTTTGAAACTCGGCAGCGAAGTGTCGAAGTCAACGGAATTCGCACGGGAGTTACAGTCGGTGGTCGACGGAATTCTTGTCGCGGAAATTCTCGTCTACGGAATTCCAGTCAATGGAATTCGCTCGGCGAAATTCAAGGCTCCGAATTTTGCGTCGACGAAATTCAACGTGCGACCCGGGTCGACACTTTCTTGTGTGCTTTTATTTTGTATTGCGTCCTAATATAAAACCAGAGAGCACAAACCAGAAATCAACCAAGTCATTATCACTGCTATGTTTGTGTGTATCTCTGGCTATCGTGGACCGTTTCTTGCAATCTTTGGTGCATTGGAATTGTGCATTCAAGCTCTATCAATCTGCTATAGTAGTGGAATTATACACCTGCTCCACAGGTGATGGCATTGGCGCACTCACCATTGTGGGGAACCCCTGTGCACGGGCATTTGACGTCAACTCGGTCCTACGTCGTGCCCGGGAGTGGTACCGGGCAGAGGACATTGACACGGGGAGGACCACGAGCACTCGCGGTGAAGAGATGGGTGGGTATGCTGAGCATTTCCACCCTGCATCAGGTCTCGCTCTGCCATGGCCAGACTGCGGGCAGCGAGGCAACAGTCCTGCGCAAGGGCCGGACGAGCCTGCATGTGAGGAGGATCCGGTACCAGAGGATGCCAAGGAGGATGCAGATGGGGCGGACGATGGAGAGGGAGAACCCGGCATACTTGTGCGCACCGGGTTCTATCGTAACAGGCACGGATCATCCTATCGCATTGGAGGGATCATGCTGCTGCACTGGGCCCGTCTTTTTGTGGTGATGCTGCGGTTTGGTATCTACACAAGCAACGCCACTGAGTCCATCAACAGCGCTGTCCGCGGCATCCGCATGCTGCCACCCACATGGCTCCTTGCATCGCTTTGGGATTGGTCTCGCGACAAGTGGTACGAGAGGCAGGAGAAGGCGCGTTGGAGGGATGAGTATCTCACGTTGGCCGCAGCGAAGCGTCTTGATCAAAAGAAGCTGAGGTGCTAGGGGTATTGTTTCATCGGTGGGAACAACACGGTGGGAACCATCCAGACCAGGGGTGGGGGAGAACGAGTCTCAGTGGCGAAGCTTCAACGTGAACCTCGACGCCCGGACTTGCAAGTGCGGGAACTGGGAGGAGTACCAGTTCCCATGTGCCCACGCCGTGGCCATGTGTATTCTAAAGAAGCGGAGTGTGGAGATCCTGGTGCCTGAGTACTACACCACGCGCAATCTTCGCCAGACATATAACCGGGATGTGTTGGGAACTTGTGTTGACCGGATGGTAATGGAGGCTCCAAAGGCAGCAGAGGGCGTGTGTGATGCACCAGCCCTGATCGAGACGAGGGTTGGGAGGCTAGAGAATCACACCCGGTTTGAGGCAGTGCCGCACGCCTATCGGTGTGGGCAATGCCGACAGTACAGGCACAACCGCAAAAGGTGCTAGTTCAAGTACGGTAGGTACGGTCAGGCACAGGCTGCGGTGGGGGAGGAGGAGGAGGAGGAGGAGGAGGAGGAGGAGGAGGAGGAGGAGGAGGAGGAGGAGGAGGAGGAGGGTGAGGAGGAGGAACCTGCTGCGGGTGAGCAGCGCGGGGAGGACCAAGCTGCCCCCGAATGAATTGCGAGTATATCTGTCTTTCCCTTGCGAGTGTTGTGTCCTGGTTTTTTATGTTGAATGTGCTCAGAACACTCATCGAAGCAGGCTTTGCTGTGCTGCGACTAGTGGATGATCCATGGAAACAGGATGGATATTTTGAGTCCTAGGCACAACAGTAACTCGCAGAGTTAATGTGACGTGCACTGGAAACAACCGGGTTTTGTAAACGGTTTAACAAAAAATCACATACACATTAGTCCTGGTGGATACCCGATGCAGGTGTACTGTTTACTTGTAGCTTCTGTGCCGCTGCAGATCGAGTCATGATCGCTGCTCGAACTGTCATGTCTCATACAGCAATCAAGCGCGGGGCTAAGTTGTTCACTGCGAAACTGGTCATGACAAATCATGTACCCTAATGTGGTCATAGCGTGCCCCGCTGCAGCTCGCGTCATGATCGCAGCTCGAGCTGTCATGATTCGAACAGCTAAGTAGGTGACCGTGAAACTGTACATGATGAATCATGTATTGTACTGTGGGAGAGGCTCGATAGTTGTGCACCTGCTTGGAGGAACATGAATAGTTGAGGAAGTGTAGCCCGCAACATGTTTTGTACTAGGGGGAGCACGATTCGCGCACGAAGGCACATGTTCCGAAAATGGTACTCGTTTTGCGTTTAGTGTGTTTTTTTCCAATAGAAAGTGGGGACTACATGCAGAATCTTACGCCACGGTTGTATCATGTCTTGCCGTATTAACTATGCCTCGGGATAGAAACGGTAATGTGAACTATACAACCGCCTGAAATGTACAGATTTACCACCTTATCTTTTGCTTAAAAGGCTGTGTGTGGACTCGTATTTATAACGCAATAGGGCCACGAATTTAAAAAGCTTATGACATTAAGTACGATGGCTACAGCAAGCATGATATAACTTTGACATCGAGCACCTCTTCATCGCATGACGTTTGGTATTTGCAACTATTCAGCCAGACCACGTTCACCACAAAATAACCTAGTAGTACATAGTAGATATGTACACATTGAAGAGCAAATGCTTAAAAGTACCATAACTACCAGGCGAACTTGTTGTGGTAACAAGTACTGCACGGTGGCGTTTATTGGTCAACTCAAATGGGGCTCAGCACCGCCTATCTCTTAGCTTCAATGTCTACGTTTTCCACACGGTGGTCGTTTTTATAATGCTTAAATCATATGAGTGTTCTGCCACATAAGACGACGACTGTAGGATTGTGATTGTCACAAAGTAACAAACGAGAATGACTAGAATGAGAACAGTACAAGGTTGTATAGGCAAAACCTAACAGGGCTGTACCCCATAAGGAGTGCCCCACTACAGCCTAGAGTATAGTTCTGACACACCCCCATAGGCAAAGTGGGGGACAAGCAAGAGAACAAGGCAATGTCAAGCTCAGGGTGGATCACGACGTCACCTCGCATTTTGAGCACAAGCAAATGGCCACAAGGCCAGTTCACATGCAGAGTTATATAAAGGCAAACAAACAATACAGTGATCTCAACCTAACAAGTGTAAGCATGCAGGTGCAGGTATATTTAGATCACAGTACAGGCAAGGTCAAGAGGTGAGCAAGTGAGGCCAGGTAGGCACAAGACCTAACAGAGTACACAAACGCTGATGATCACAAGGCTGAAGTGCCTTGGTCAAGATATCAGCAGTGTTTTGCCCGAGTGGCCACGTAAGCAAGACGAAGATGACCACGCTGCTGCAACTCTTAAGCAAGGAAGTAGCGCAGAGCGATGTGCTTCGTTCTGTGCTCCAGTCTGTGCTCCTCACACAAGCCAATCATGGCCTTTTTGTCGATGTACAGAATTGGAGGAGAACGAGGCGGCTCTCCCAAGTTGGTCAGCAGGTAGGTGAGCCAGCGTAACTCCTGTGCAGCCATGGCCCCTGCGTAGATCTCAGCCTCACAACTGGAGCTAAGAACAGAAGACGAGCGGGTAGATCGCCACGAGACGGAGCCGGAACCAAGGCTGAAGGTGTAACCCTGTGACGACCGCTGCGTAGCCAAGTCGTCAACCCAAGAAGCGTCTGTGTGACCAGTGAGGACAACTCGAGCCCGTCCTCCAAGCACGAGCCCCATGCCCAACGTACTGCACAAGTAGCGCAACACCCTCTTAGCGGCATCCATGTGCTCCTTCCTGTGTCTCCCACGAGCAACATAGCGTGCCACGATGCTAAGAGGGTTTGCCAGGTCAGGTCGAGTGCAGGTCATCAGGTACATGAGGAAGCCCACAAGCTCTGGGTACGGGCCACTTGACTCTACGGACTCATCCAAAGGCAGAGCTGAGAGCCAGTGGTGAGTAGATAGAGGCGAGGAGTACGTGAATTTGAAGCGCTGAAGGACCTGCTGCACCATGTGTGACTGAGTCAAGGTAATGGTGCGCCGTGCTCTGTCCCGGGTGATCTGCAAGCCAAGATAGCTGCGCAGCTCACCCAGGTCTGTACACGTGTGTCTCTTCTGCAGCTCCGACTTCACGTGGGCCAGTCCAGCAGTGTCAGTAGTAGCAAAGACCAAGTCGTCGACACACGAGGATGTAGAACGGCGGCAGAGTAGTATCGGTGCGTAGAAACAGCGACGAGTCAGCAGTGGAAGGAGCAAACCCAAGAGCCGCAAGGGTAGTCCTCAGTGTGTCGTGCCATTCACGGGGCGCCTGGTGGAGACCGTAGACCGGCCGCCGGAGGCTCCACTGGGTACCAGGAGGAAACGACCCAGTGAAGCCAGGTGGGCGGCGCAGCCAGATCTCCTCGTGCAGGCTGCCCTGTAAGAAGGTTGTGCTGAAGTCAAGAGAGTGAAGCTCGTAGTCACACTGAGCGGCGACGTGCAGCAGCACCTGAAGAGTGGTCATCTTCGGGGTAGGGGAGAAGGTCTGGAAGAAGTCAACTCCCTGTCGCTGACTGAAGCCTCGTGCAACGTAACGCGCCTTGAAGACAGGCGGAGAACCCGGCGGCCGCTTCACCCTGAAAATCCACACGCCATCGACAATGTTCGCCCCAGGTGGGGGAACGTCGTCAGCATAAGTGCCTGTGGACTTCCAGGAAGCCATCTTTGCGTCCATGGCTGTCTGCCACTGAGAGGAGTAGGGACCCTCTATCGCCTCTGCGTAAGAGCGCGGAGTTGGGATGTCTGGTGCATCCGGGTCTCCTTCAGGGGCAAGCAGCATGGACACGAGATGAGGTAAAGCAGCAGCAAAGCACTGGAAGTCCTCCTGCCTGTCCTCAAGGACGTCCGTGCCAAGAGCACACTCACCCCCGACGGACGGGCAGGGCGGCGCGGCTCGGCAGGGCGGCGCGACTCAGCCGGGCGGTGCGGCTTAGCTGGCGCGCGTGTGCAGCAGCGCGCTTGGCAGGGCGGGCGCTTACCAGGGGAGTAGGTCAGGGCCGCGTCTGACAGGGCAGGGCCGCGACTAGCCGGCAGGCAGAGCCGCGACGAGCCAGCATTTGCCGGGGCAAGTGGGGTTGGATCAGCTCCGGGTGGGGTTGGCGCTGCAGCCACAATCGCAGGGGGTGCCGGGGCGGGATTAGCACCACCGAGGGACGCAAGCTCCACACGCCACCTTTCCAACCATCACCAAACGCGTGCGGTAGTCAGCTGCCGGTCGATGTCGTGTGTAAAGCCATCCAGCAGGTTCATCTCCTCTCCGGTGAGCTGCCACACATGACCCCTGGGTGGCTTAATCCACCTCATCACGGCTGCAGCTGCAGCGAACGCACTGGCCGCTTGCTGCTGGTCAGGGAAGTTGCCGAGAATAAGCGTCCTTGATGACCCGGGCTCATGAACAATCTTCGCTTGCCAAGTCCCGTCAGGGAGGAGCCTAACACCCGCATACTCCCTCGATCCCTCGACAGAGTGTGTGTGAGCTGGCGGCGGGCCCATACACCCATATTTATCCTCCGAAGGTGCAGGCAAATCTCCCGCATGCGCACCACGACGAGTCGGAGTTGAGGCATCGCCGGTCGGCCCCAGCAGCAGCCCGTTGACAACTCCGAGGGCAGCATGTATCTGGTGCGAATCCCCCTGCTGCTCAATGTGCGCGGTCGTAGCAAGTTCATCGTGGGTAGAGGGGTCGACGGGTCTCGCGCTGGCTCCACCCGCTGCACCAACAGTCTGCAGCTGCGCCGGTGGTGGTGAGGCTGCAAATTGTGCCTGCATCGCGGCAAGATCGTTGCGGGTGTTCGACAGTTCGTTGGTGAGAGACTCAACCAGGAACTCAAGTTTCTGAATGTCCTTCTCACAATACCCCACGCGGCACGTGACGTTGTGGATGTCGCCGACAGCATCGCGCAGCTTCGCATCGAGTTCGGCAATCTCCGGCGACACCGGGTTATTCACGCGCTTGCTCAACAGCGGATCCTGGTGTGGCACCGAAATTCCAGCCCGCTCCAGGGTTGGGAGTAACCGCTTGAGTGCGTGTTCGACAATGTCCCCACGCATCCCCCTTCGGTAGAGGCCAGCACCATAGGGCAAGGCGGGCAGCCCATTGTCCAGATTTGCGAAGCCGCTCGCAACCAGCTCCTTAGCATAGATGCAGACGTAGACTCCTTAGTCTACAAGGTTGGCCTGCATCGGGCACTGATAGTACTGCAAACGACGAAACACACCATATTAGCGACGGTGCAAAACATTGCAATTATGGGGTTAGTGTATAACAGGATGCACGGCAACCAAAGTGCTTACTGCCATCGGGATGCAAGGCATTCGATCAAGCCGCTGCTTGATTTCGCTGGCAGAGAGGCCGAGCTCCTCGGCTTGTAGCGCCAGTCTGAGAAGCCTGAGCAAAACAACGATGCATGCAGTAATGCGTCAGAAAGAAGGTTAACCACCATGAGATGATTAGCACATTATGAAGACGCACGTGGTCCAGGGGCTTGCAACTCACGTTTGAATCTCGGAGAACACCACTGGTGCCATGTTCGGGTGATCACCAGTCGAGTCGTAGAGGTATGCAACCGAGAGCTTCGAGTTCCCTGATTTTAGAGCATCGGTTCTAGCTCTGCCATGCTCCTTGATAACGACAAGGCTAAAATGCCTAGGCTCACTGCCAAATAACAAACAAAAATGTTAGGTGTTGCGGATCACGTCGTGACGATGCACTGCTAAGCGCGTACAGAGAGAGTGTGAGTGCGTCGCTTACATTGTTGTTACTACGACAAGGACGTAGTTGTAAACAATGATAGAGCCGCCTTCATATCCAGTGAAGAGCACCTGTTGACTCGCCGCCATCAGATACGCTCATGTGTCGAGCGCAACCCAAGTCTGCCTGTTTGGGGTGCCTGATGCTCAGCAAACTGCGCGGGTTGTAAAAACAGACATGGAAAGCTAGTGTTAGGCCTCATGCAGTAATGCAAGAATATATGGAACCGCCGGGAAATATTCACTCACATGTTGTGGAAGTCGATCAAGGCCGTACTGAGCTCGTAACCATCTAGAATGCGCATCGCGTCGATTGCGCCGACGAAGGCGTTCTGTCCTAGGGAGTTGTACAAGGCCTTCGTTGGGAAGTGCGGACTCTTGATGTTGGGGCCGCGTGAGCCTTTAGTTTGCGCAAGAGGTCCTCGACCTTTGGTGAAGGCGGTGATGATGTCGTCCACGGGGGGCAAAACCTCCTTCAACACGACGTTAGTTTTGAAGTTGAAGGGGGAGGTGCTAGGCTGTTCTTTTCGTCCTTTCCGTTGCTTCCCCTTCCTCCTGTCTTTCCCGTGCTCGTCGGTAACGAGTTTCACGCTAGAATCGTGAGAATCTCCGGCGTTGGAATCCTCATGGCCCGACTCCTCCGGTCGTTTACTGAGGACAATTTTACTACAAAGATCCATGACAATCACTATACGGAGTAGGCCACCGAAAAGCTAACACGATTTGCTAAGCCTAAGAGGAAATGACGATTACTACTAACAAACTACTGGAAACACAAAGGTTGGAAGGAATACGGTGAGAAAGGGCACGAAAGGAGGGAGCTTGGAGGGTCGTGATGTGGCTGAAAGGTTCATCGCGAACTCAAGACAAGACCTTGAAGGTGAGTATAAGGTTTATGCACACAATCGTCTCCTGCCTCAGCTATTGGACTGAAATCGTGCTCGTGCATGATCGTTGATTGGTCGCCTTAGTATACATGACAGTGCATGGACGTTATCGACAGCACCCTCCCACTCCTTGGTACATCACTCCCAAACCTTGACACACCCAAACAGTTCCAACGCATGTTACTCTGGCGCGCAAGTGCAGTCACAAATATTTCGACCAATAAAAAGAACCACACGTGTCGAAAGTGTGGAAGTAGCTTTGTATGTAGGAACCGTGACTGTTTGTGATATCACGGGAGTACACGCGGCTGCCCGAATTTCGGAGTGGAAGGGCAGGAAAAATGGGTTGGGGGGGCGGAGGGAAAGGTGGTCCATTCAATTAAGAAAAACGCCCACGTGGCGAGGGGGGAGAAATTTGGGTCGATTCTTTTGGGGAAATGATCAGACTGGGGCCCCAAAGTTCTAGGAATGTAGCCAACTTGGGGCCTCGTGTGTCGCAATGTTTCGAACCTGCTCCGGACCTGTCTCTAGCCAATTTCGGGCCTCACCCACGCGCTTTGTCAGACCTGATCACACAAGGTGACGGATTTCTCAACGCCAAGCTGGCAAAAAAAATAAACCCCATATGGGCATGAATTTGGTTAGGGAGGCATCAACCCTAAACACCTGGTCGCATGTGTTTAGGGTTGATGCCTCCCCGATTTTATGCCATCCGATTGGGTTTTATTTTTTTACCACTGCGATATTTTTTTTGGGATAAAATGTTCATTTCTAAGTCATTTCTCTGAAGTATATGTACTGCTCATTGTGAATGGGCTGACGATCGCTGCTCCCGTGAACCAGAGTGCTAGCGAAATCCGTCAAACCCAAGCCAGCAGGTGGTGACCTGGCGAGCTCGGCCTAGCTGCCTAGGCTTGTGGATTGCTTCGGGAATTCTTCGTAGGGTCGCGACTCACGAGGCCCCAAGTCGGCCATCTTTTTGCTAACCCGAGGCCCCAATATGATCATTCCCCATTCTTTTGAGAGAAACGTGATTTCCGCCGATGCGCGCCATTTCGCCCTCGTGAGCCCGGTGGTCCACGTCTTCGTCACGCGGGGAGAGTGCTGCGTCAGGAGGTCCTTGAGTCAGCTCGGAGACTCGGAGCTGCGTCAGCCTGCTTCCCGCCCTGGACAGGCTGGCGAGCTCGGTTCCGGGCGGTCGAGTACAGCACGCGGGGCTTCGCGTGCTAAGAGCTCAAACCCCGGTAGCGCTACCGAGGCCGCTACCGTTCACTAGGCGACGCTACCTAGTGTAATGTATTGCTGCCTCTCATGCGCACTTACGCGACACCTGTCATATAACCTTCAACTCATCGTGATTTGATTCGAGGTTTTTGGAGCCTAGCACTCATGAGTGAGCAGCTGGGAGGGAGCAGCACGGTCAGACAGTCCATGCCAAAGTCTGTCTCGACAAAATTCTCGATGTCGTTCGAGTTTGCATGGTGCGATGGATCGGTCCCATCGTCGCTCGACGGGTCGGGAGACTGGCCCGACAGCACAGTCGAATTTGCCAATTTGCCGTGGTCCCCTGCTTGCTGCTCCTACCACTTCTTTCCTCCGCTGCACACCCCTTTTTTCCTCGCTCTTGCTGTCCTCTCGGCCTTTTTCACCTTTTTCACCGTCTGTATCAGCTGCCTTTTGCTACGGCTGAGGAATCTGCCGCCTGTCGCCACGCGGCTTTCGCAAGTGCCTCTGTTTTTCGTCCACCCTCTAAGCTTACGAACATACTAGCGACTCAGACTCCGGGATTGTCGACACCATGCTTAGCGCCCAGTCCCCCAGAGAAGTTGGCAGAGCGGAATTCAACCCTACGGATCCTTTCGCGATTTTCTTGGTGTAGCATTCGGACCCAACCCCCACCTGGTCTCGATACGTCGAACCAGCCGTGAGGGGGAAACAAGGGGAGAAATATGATTGGTTGGAGTTTGATTGGAAGCGAGAAATTTGGAATTGACTTGATTGGAAAACTAGCCAATCAGAACTCTGCTGTACAGTTGTGACAGAACTTACGCGATAGGTTTGAAAACAACCCACGTAAGTTCAAACATCACCCTTGCCCAACCAATCAGAGCATACTCACACAAAGTGAGTCGACGGAACTTCCGCCGCTGGTTGGAAATAGAACCAATCAGAAACAACCAACCTAAATCCAACTCGACTCTTCCTTGAAATTCCAACCAATGAAACAACTCAGGTTTGTGATAATTATGCATTGTTATCCTTGCTGTCTATTGTCTAATTGGTTGGAAACCCCAACCATTGCCACATGGGCAAAGACCCATGGTGGTGCACCCTTCTTTGCCATGGGGAAGGTGGCTGCACCCCAAGGGGGTCTAGGGAGGGGTCTGAGCCAAGCTAGCTCATTCTTCACTTCCTATCCCCAACTAAACAATTGGGAAATAGGATTGCTTCCTTCTGAACTCACCCTCCAGGATTTGTTACTGCATCTCCTAGCACTCCTCGGACTTAATCATTTCCAGAAGCTGTTACTCTCTGGTTGTATTAGAACCTATTGGTATATGGGTAAATGCCCTTTTACTTAGCAGATCCGTTACACTTGGCGAGTCAGCGGGTGAAGAAAATGCATGCGAAACCTTCGCCAACAAAGACTCCGCGGGCGCTGTCTTGGCGTCCGCCACCGCGGCTCCGCTGCCTCAACTTCCGCCGGTGCGGTTCAACCAGGGTGACATGTGCTTCACGTACGCGACGCAAAGCGGCTTTCGCGAGTTTTGCTGCGACCCGCTGAAGGAGGCGATTCAGAGGCGCTAGTTTGAGGGGCGCAGCGTGGGCATGGTGGAGATGTTGTCTTGCTGCCACCTATTCGCGCTCGTGGGCGGCGGTCCCAACCCTTGCTACCCGCCCAACAAGGTGCGGTGGGGAGAAGAGACAGGTGAGGTGATTCGGGCACCTGATCAAGGAAAAGAAGGTGTGGCAGGGGAGGAAGGGAGGTGAGCGGAGAAAGGGGGATGAGGGGGTGAGAGGAGGTGAGGGGATGAGGGGAGGTGAGGGGAGGTGAGTGGGGGAGGGGAGGTGAGAGGAGGAGGGGATGTGAGGGGAGATGAGGGGAGGAAGGGAGGTGAAGGGAGGAGGGCAGGGGAGGGGAGGAAGGGAGGTGAAGGGAGGAGGGGAGGGGAGGGGGGGGGGGAAGGGAGGTGAAGGGAGGTGAGGGGAGGGTGAGGGGACATGAGGGGAGGTGAGGGGGGAGGTAAGAGGAGAGGTGAAAGGGGAGGTGAGGAAGGTGAGGAGAGAGGGAGTGGGAATAAGGCATGGGGAAATGGGGCGATAGTCACACCCGGTGCACCTGCAAATGGGTTCCTTGCAATTCTTGTTCTTCTGTGTCGTTCCCTCTTCCCCCCAACCCCCCTCTTACCCGATGACCTGTGAGGACTGTTAGTGTTAGCCCTCAATCTCACACTTTGTACTTTATATTTTTCTATATCCTAGAGTAGTGTAGTTTGCACTTTGTGTTTGGTTGGGTGTACACCTACATCCCAACCAAACCCAAATGTAATCTCCAAGCAATCTCCAACCCACCAATTGGAGATTGCCTTGGGATTACCCCCAATCCCTAGGGATTACCCCCGATTCCCTTTCCCATCCATTCCTTGCCCTTCTTGGATGTACTTAAAGCGCTTCAAGCTCATTACTAATGTATCAGTTCTAAGCTTAAGTTCTGACATGTTACCAGAGCCCTTCAACCGCACACTCGGATCCTGATCCTCCTATCTTTGCGGATGCTCGTCCCGCAAAGCTCGGCATAGCCACCTTCAATCTCGTCGCCGGTGATTCGCGACATTCGTCGGTGGAAATTTTCCCGCACCACCTTCCCGTCAACTTCGAGACATCTACTATCTTTCTTGTGAGCATATTGTCGGCGCCATAACCTAACGCTCCTTTTTGTCAAACATCATCGCGTCATCTCTTCTCCTCGTCGGGCCGTCGCCCGTCGCCCTGCAGCTTCTCGTCGGGCTGCCGCCCGTCGCCCACAGCTTCTCGTCGGGCCGCCGCCCGTCGCCCGCAGCTTCTCGTCGGGCCGCCGCCCGTCGCCCTGCAGCGTCACCTTCGGGCTGCCGCCCGTCGCCTCGCATCTGCACTTCTACCCCCATACCCCTCCCGCAGCTGAACAGGTGCAGCAGCGCAGCCGAGCAGCAGTGTAGCCGTGAAGCCGAGCAGCCGTGTAGCCGCGAAGCCGAGCAGCAGTGTAGCCGCGAAGCTGAGGGTGGTGTGTGGGGGGGTGTTGTTCAGGATCCGTCAATTTGAGAGCTTACGACGAACTCATTACTCACTTAAACGCAAATCCGCTCGGTAGGATTGTGCGCCTTAGGCTTAGCTACCATCTCCAATTTGAATCAATCGTTAAGATGGTCTATGGACTGAGGACCAAGTAAAAACGTCCAGCAGCCGCATGACTAGAATGGGGGAGGAAGTACAAGCATTAAGGCATAGAGAGTTGGAGTTGGGAACCTCCAAGAGAACCATGAGAGGGAAGGGGTTCTCCAAGTGCTAGAGAAGGATGGTAGGAACCTTCCTAGCAGCAAGGATGCAACCCTCATCATGAAGTCCTTGAGGTGTCACATGCAAAATCCAATCTAGTTGGATTTTGCCTAGGTGTTGCAACATTTGCAACCCATGCTAGAAACTTCTAGCCACCCCAATCCAAAAGTCAAAGTTGCCTCCCAAACCACCCAACCAAAGATCCCTTTATAGTCATGTCCAAGTAATCACCCAAATTATATATAACCCCAAAAGGTAATAAGAAATCCAAGTCTTGGAAATCTTGTAACTTGGGCGATCTTGGTATCGTTGGAAAGCTCTGGATTTCTCCTGCATGATCAAGCATTTGAACTTGGAGAAAAACACAGAAAGGATAATATCCAACAGCCATGCACAATGACATATGCTCATGCACACAATGCACGCATGAATAGCACGAGCACTCGGCAGGACGTTAGGATGACATGCACTCAGAATGACGTGCATCCAACAAACTCCCCCTCAGACTAATGGACTGCATGCACACACACTCACATACATGCAAACTCTCATGCACACAATCACACATGCACTCATGACACTGCTGCCCACACTAGTGCAATGCCATGCCACACATTTTAGCACACTTCCAATGTGCGCTCTCGGGAAGTCTCTTGGTGAGAAAATCTGCCACCTGCTTGGTAGCCTTCACATGGTGAAACTCAACAATCCCCTCCTTCACCATCTGCCTCACCCAGTGCCACTTGATCTTCATGTGCTTGTTCAGCCCATTCAGGATAGGATTATTGGCCATGCCAATAGCAGCCTTGCTGTTGGAGAAAAGTGGTGTAGGTCCCTCCTATTCAGCTCCCATGTCCTCAAGCAGCTTCCTCAGGAGCACGATCTCCTTGATGGCATGGTACATCGCCATGTACTCTACCTCTCCGGAAGACTGAGCAATCTCACTCTGCTTCTTGGACCTCCAGCTCACTGATCCACCTCTGACCATGCACACAAAGCCGCCAGCAGATGACTGATCCTCCTCCTCTGAGGCCCACGTAGCGTCGGTGAAGCACGACAGCTTCAAGGTTCCAGGCGTGACCCCATCTGCTCCAATCTGTTTCAGCTGGCCGCCAGCTGAAAACTGAACACCAGCAGATGCCGTAGGGCATCCCAAAAGCCCCCAACAGAGTCTTAGCCACCTCGCCAATGGTCCAGTTGGCACGCTCAGCAATGCCGTTCTGCTGCGGTGTTCCTGGGCAGGTCAGCTGGTGTCGGATGCAGTTCCTCTTGAGAAAATTGGTGAATTCCGCTCCAAGGAACTCTCCACCACGGTCGCTCCTCAGCACCTTCACCAGCCGCATCGCTTGCCGCTCCACCATCGGCAACCAATCCTCCTTGATCGCTCTTCTTGGACAAGGGACGTGCCCACGTGAAACGGCTCCATTCGTCCACCATGGTGAGGAAGTACAGCACTCCCCCAGTCCACTCAGTCCTCATAGGACCCACCAGGTCCATGTGCACCACCTCCAAGGGTGCCTTCGCCGATCCCTCCGCACGTGGAAACGGGAACCGCGCAAACTTGTTTAGCATGCACGCCTCGCAGCTGCCATAGTGAGCGCCATCTCCTTGCAGTTGCAGCCCATGCACGCACTTCTCCTTGTGCATCACCTCCAATGTTGAAACAGCCACGTGTGCGAGTCGCCGATGCCAAGTCTCCCAATCCGTTTGGCCCGAGGTAGCTGACGCCTTCACCGCCGCGCTTCCTCCAATCAGCTTCTCTCCTTGCACACCTTGCTGCTCCTCCTCAGTGACACTCTCCTCCATAGATGCCGCCACTGCCGCCTTGCCCGATTTCCGCCAAGGGAGGACCGGGATCTGCCACATCCGCTTGTGGACATCCTCTTTCCACTGCAGGTCCCAAATCAGCCGCTCATCGTTGTAGGCACGATAGCGCTCTGAGCCAATTGTCTCGGTGTTCATACCCGCATCTCCCAATCGGCCAGTAGAAAACAGGTTTGCGCACAAGTCCGGCACCCAAAGCACGTTCTTCAGCCCCACGAGCTCTCCATCCGCTCCCATGAACTTGGCGCACCCCATGCCCATGACCTTGGCCTTGGCGCCCGTCGCGAATGTGACCGTAGAGATAGGTGCGGGCTGAATCTCATCAAGAAGGTCCGCACGAGAAGTCATGTGCCAAAAGCTTCCCGAGTCAATCACCCAATGGGTGAGGGGGTGTAGGAGACCTTGGCAGCCATAGCGAGGTCGGTTGCGCCTTCGTTCACGAAGAAATAGAACCCGGCCTTTCGCTCCTCAGATTTGCTGCCTTTCTTCTCCTCCTTCTCCTCTCCACTAGCTCCCATGACTCCCCCACTCCTCGTGCCACCACGCTGGTTGCTTGATGAAGGCGGGGTCCAATCCTTGGGTCGTTGGTAGCACTTCCGCCAACGATGTCCGCGCTTCTTGCAGTAGAAGCATACCTCCCCTTGACCCCCGCCGCCATCCTCCTTAGGGTTGTCCTTGTTCTTGCCCTTCCACTTCTTCTTGAAGCCACACTTTTCACCTCCAACTCCATAGCCAGCCCCCTCCTCCGAGCGCTCCACACTCCGCCGCCGCAAGTCCTCCTCTACGATGCGCGCGCGAAGGTAATCCACGCTCCATTGGAGTTGTTGGGAGTTGAGGTTGATCGCTAGGGCAGACCATGACTCCGGCAGCCGTATTACGATCTCCACGCATTGCACGAGCTCCGGGTACACCACACCGCCACCTTGGAGCTTCGTGAAGGTGTCCCGCATCTCATCCAACACCGGTTGCATCGGCTTTCCATCAACGAACTTGATGTCGCGCAGCCGCCGCGCGAGTAGCACGATGCCGGTAGCATGTATCGGTGAGTGCACATCCAGAAGCTTCCTCCAAGCCTTGGGGCCAAAAACTTCTCAATAGAGAACACCTTCACGGGATCCACGGTTGTTGGAGATGGTGTAGTAGATGTATGTAGCGTAGGGTTGGCTGATTGGTGAGTCCCCACTCCACCACCAGCAACTCCCCCTTGCTCTCCAGCCTCTCTACTTCTATCCATCTCGCCACTAGCACCTCCGGAGTTCGTACCAACCATATTGAGGCCTTATGAACGGTGAAACTTGTGAAATCGTTTGGAGAGAATACTGCTATATATTTTGATTCTATGAAAATCGCCGTCGCGGACTGGATACTTCGAGTTCGAACGCGGTTTGACCACCAATCGAAAGTTTGCTAGTAGAGCTACTCGAAATGGTCTGACTCGTCAACATTGGTTGAGAATTCACGAGGATTCGTCGTCTCAGAGTCGACTACCCGCTCTGATACCACTTCTTGTTCATGATCCGTCACTTTAAGAGCTTACGATGAACTCATTACTCACTTTAACGCAAATCCGCTCGGTAGGATTGTGCGCCTTAAGCTTAGCTACCATTTACAAGTTGAATCAATCGTTAAAATGGTCTATGGAGTGAGAACCAAGTAAAAACGTCCAGCAGCCGCATGACTAGAATGGTGGAGGAAGTACAAGCATTAAGGCATAGAGAGTTGGAGTTGGGAACCTCCAAGAGAACCATGAGAGGGAAGGGGTTCTCCAAGTGCTAGGGAAGGATGGTAGGAACCTTCCTAGCAGCAAGGATGCAACCCTCATCATGAAGTCCTTGAGGTGTCACATGCAAAATCCAATCTAGTTGGATGTTGCCTAGGTGTTGCAACATTTGCAACCCATGCTAGAAACTTCTAGCCATCCCAAACCAAAAGTCAAAGTTGCCTCCCAAACCACACAACCAAAGATCCCTTTATAGTCATGTCCAAGTAATCACCCAAATTAGATATAACCCCAAAAGGTAATAAGAAATCCAAGTCTTGGAAATCTTGTAACTTGGGCGATCTTGGTCGGAATAAGGCGATCTTGGTATCGTTGGAAAGCTCTGGATTTCTCCTGCATGGTCAAGCATTTAAATTTGGAGAAAAACACAGTGATGATAATATCCTACAGCCATGCACAATGACATATGCTCATGCACACAATGCACGCATGAATAGCACGAGCACTCGGCAGGACGTTAGGATGACATGCACTCAGAATGACGTGCATCCAACAGGGGATGTGTGGGAATAGGGTTAGTATTACCGAAACCGGCCGATTTAACCTAGTTTTGGCGGCCTGAGAAATCCTTTTACAAGGCATCCCGACGTGGTCGACATTGTCGATCTTCGCTATTTTTACCCGTCGGATTTCGAGATCGCCGCGATGCGCGCTGCTCGAAGTTCCTATCGGTGACTTAGGAGCGGCGCTCCGCGCGAGACATTAAGGGGCCTTCATCATGGCCTTCCCCTCGTCCACCATGGCCAACCCCATCGCCCCGCTCCGCCTTGAAGCCGATGGCTCTAGCTCCAACTTCAAGGCATGGAGCTACGGGGTTGACAAGCACCTCCTGAGTCGTGGCGTGCAGGGATTAGACCTCAAAGACGTCCTCCTCAACCGTGGCAAGGGAAAACAGCCCCCTCTCCCCCTTGAGCCGACTGAATCTGCTGAGTGGAGCGGGCTGACATCTACAGCCTCGCCTTCTCCCCCACGGCGCCCTTCCTGGTGGCCACCAGTGACAGGGGCACCGTACACGTGGACTCGCTGCTGCAATCCCACGCGCAGGGGCACGCGCAAGTGCAGGCGCAGGGGAGTGGTGGGGGAGCACTGTCGTCGTTTGGATTGATGAAAGGTGGGTCATTTGAGGGGCTGATTATGAGGGTGAGGTGAGGGTGGGTTCTTTATAGGAGTGGGTTTTGAGAGGTAAGGTACTTCAGGGGTAGTACAAGGCGTGTGTTACTGTACAGGTATAGGCCGTCATAATAGGGGGGTAAATTAGGGTTATTTGCGTGCACACACATGCTCCCTGCTCTCATGCTATGCCCCCTCTGTCTCATGCTCCATGCTCCGTCTCACTACAGTGGCGCACGCTCCCTTGCTTCTACTACTACCTCGGTCACCCCTCTTATCTCCTGCCTCTCCTCCATAACCTCTCTCGCCGTGACTCCTCCCCTCCCAACACCCACGAGTCTTCCCCCCAAGTATTCCAGTGACAAGCATTCCATTGCCTTTCATCCTTTCCTACCCCCTGCCACCCCTCTTTCCTCCTGCCCGTCCGTGACTCCTGTCCATAACTCCCCTGCAAGAGTACTTGGCCGGCCAGCCCTCTGTGACGTTCTACCACATTACCGTGCACTTGAGCATGCACGCTGCTCTCATGCCATCCCCCCCTTGCCTCGGGCCTCTCTGTGGCTCCCCTCCCTCGTGTTCCACCCCAGGGGTCCTCCCGAAGTACTTCATAGGAGAGCGCTCGTCGGCCGTCTACCGCACCGGCATGCACACGCACATGCTCGCTGCCTTTGGCGCAGAGGCAAACACCGTCATCGTGGTCGGCAGCAGTGGCTCGTATGTCTGCCGATTTGAATGTCTATACGTGCCGTACACGTGCAAATTTGTACCGGTAGCTGGGCACTCTCGGAGCATGGGTTTGTATGTTTACACGTTCTACTATTAAGTCTTGTGTGGAACTTGAATTTGAATGCTGATTAAGGTTTGTTCCTTCCAGTGTCTCCCAGCCCGGTAATTCATTCCTTGCGTGGATTGCTGTTTTGTGTGTCTGTGCCGCTCCTTCCCACCAGGTACTACAAGCTTCAGTTCGACCCGCAAGCAGGCGGTGAAATGAATCTGCTGAAGGAGACTAACTTCCTCGCGATCGAGGAGGAGCATTGATGGAATGATTGTAAGGGAGGCTATATGTACTAGTGGCAGCATGTTGGAAACAAGTAATTTAAGCGCTTCTGTTGTGTGTCGAAACCCTAAGTCGTAAATGAAGCGAAGCACAAGCGAAGCACAGCGAAGCGAGTTAACCTTTGGAGGTTGAGAAGAAAAGCAACTGCTGGAGGTTACGCGAAAGTCAAAGGTCAGCGACCTTTGACCTGACAAATACAGCATGATAGCAAGGACAAACAACTGACTCGTTATTGAGCAGTTGCCCGAGTCGTCACTGTATCGAACCGCAACAGCAACAGTAAAACGGTTATTAGCTGTATCTCTTCGTATTCCTTGTACTCTTATAAAACCTTGTATCTTCTTGTTTTAATCAATCTACTTTGCCCTCACATACTAGCGCAAGGTGGTTCAATACTTCTCATTAAAATGCTTCCGCAATTACAACATTTCCTACCCAGAGTTTAGCCCTGCAAAGATCCTAAGGGCTTTTCTCAGCCCAACATGGTATGAGAGCTATCAGGGCAAACTCAACTGCTTTCAAGACACCCACAACATCAGAAGGCATGGCAACGCAGAAGGAGAGAAGCTCCTCTAACAGTTCTCCCGGCACTACTCCTACTCCACCTCCTGCCTCTGGCCTAAAGACAGAGGGGGGCACAGCAACAAGACCAGCAGTTGAGTCTACTGAAACTCCCGCGAACCAAGCGACGGGCTTCGATCCAAGCATGATGGAGAAGTTCTTCTCCTTCATGTCCTTCTACGAACAACACGAGCAAGCGGCACCTGCGCAGTCAAACATCAGCAACAACAACAACGACGTTGCGCCCATGAGCCTCGATGGTTCATCCTATGCGCGCGGAAACCAGCAGCAACCCACCTTTGCTCCCTACGAGCCTCAGCATGGCTCCATCAGCTTCATGCCGCATCAACAGCCTTCACCTGAACAAGAAAAGACACTGGACGCACTTCAGGTTCAGTCGCAATTCGCGCACGTTTTGAAACTTCAGACATCAACACCTTTCGACGGAAAGGACTTCTATACCTGGTCATTCGAATTTGAGCTAATGATGGAAGGCGCGCAGATTCTTGGATTCTTCGACGCGTCCCTGCCATACCCAACACACGGAACACAATACGACAAGCAGCAGTACACGTATCAGTCAATGATGGCTTACATGATTCTGCTGCGGAACATAACTCCAAACCAGCAGCAGAACATCCGGTCTTATCGGGGATACGGCAACTCCGCCGAGCTCGCGTACAACCATCTGAAGAACCTGTATCAAGCAACAGACAGCGTCAATCAGAGTCGACTAATGGCACAGCTGACAACAGTCGAAATGGAACCGGGCAAAAAGGGAATGGCGTATATCAGCCGTTGTCGCAAATTGCGCGAAAAACTCCTTCGATGCGGAGGATCGATATCTGAAGAAGCCTTCGTCACAGTCGTCATCTCCGGTTTTGGTCCTCACTGGCGCTCCACCCGCGCCATACTCCGAGCTCATGGAAAAAATTCCGAAGCAGCACTCTGCACCGAAATACACGTCGAGCAACAAGACATGGACCTGCACGAGGAACAGCACAAGAAGAAAGCGTCAGTACCCGAATTTGCATTTCACACTCAACGGCGCTATAACAATAACAACAACCGGCAACAACCAAAACCCGTACCTCCGTTTTGTCATCTTTGCAAGACATCAGGACACCCTCGCACACACTGCCCAAATCGACAGCAGCCAACGCCGCCGCAACGTCAACTTCGTCCTTCAAGCAGCCAAGTAGCATCCACACAGGCGCACCCCACGAGTCAGACGCAGTCCTCAACAACATCACCGACACAACCTGCACAAGGAGCAAGAAACATCGTGAGCTGCATGGCGAGACTGTCAGATTCCTGCATCACCGTATCACCACCACACTACTCACCAGAAGAACTGCTCGATGAGAGCACTCCTCGCCGTGAAACACTGGAGCCGAACCCAACTTACGCAGCCATCGCCCAGAGCGAGCCGTCTGGGAAGGACAATTGGTTCTTGGACAGCTGCTGCGGACAACATATGTGCTCCTCGGGTCGCTTCGTTCAACATGAACATCAACTCCAGCGAGAAGTTGTCATCACCGTCGCCAACAATCAGAATCTGCGCACATGACGACAAGGAGTTGTTCAACTTCAGTCAAGAGAAACAAATGTAATACTGCAGATGTCAAAGGTCTTAATCGCGGAGGGACTCGGCTACAACTTACTGAATGTGAGTCAACTGATGGCGAAAGGCATTCATCTTGAAGCAGACAGCACCACCCAGGAGTTCAAGTTGTACCACGGGAGAGGCGGACTTTACATCGGGAAAGCAGTGTTGAAGAATAACGTCTTCGTCCTTGACTTCGTTCCAGACTTAGGCACCGCCGACAGCGACGGAATCGTGATCTTCACCTCCTGGACACACCCGCCGGATCTTGACCCTGGCTTCAGCCCCGGCGGCTTCTGGTATTCGCACACTATACCTGAGGCAGAACGAACAAGAGCGTTAGTGACAATTCAACAATCGGCAGCAGCAGAGACAACATCGGCAGTAGCAGAGACAACATCGGCAGCAGCAGAGACAACATAGGCAGCAGCAGAGACAACATCGGCAGCAGAGACAACATCGGCAGCAGCAGAGACAACATCGGCAGCAGCAGAAACAACACCGGCACCAATAGCTGGCCCGTCAACGGCACCAGTCTTCGTCGACAACACACCACCGACTCCCGCGCAGCAGCTGAACCCAACTCCACGAGAAGTCCATCAAAGCGCAAACTTCACCGCGGGCTTCTACTCCAACTCTGACCTCTACAGACGTTCACCCGGACAAAGCGCCACTGAAGACATCTGGCACGCACGAATGGGACACCCAAGCAACACGACGTTAAATAACACGATAAGAGCAGGCGTACTCGACAAAGTCTCCCTACTCCTACCCGACGAAAGAGAACTTCAACGAGTGCGAAGGAACATGCCTCACCTGCCCTGAAGCCGACTTACCGCATCAGCCCTTCGTCCCTCACCACAACCCAAGTGCACCGGCATACGCACCTCTGGAGAAGGTTTAAAGCGATATACTGTACAATCGCGAGCCCGGTCAAGGAGCGTACAACTACGTCATCACCTTCATCGACGCCGCCAGACGATACGTCTGGCACCTTAACCTTCCGAGTCGCGACATGGCCTTCGAAGCCTTCGTCGCCTGGCTTCCAGTAGCAGAACGAGAGTCAGGAGTGAAACTAAAAAGTCTCCTGTCAGACGGGGGAGGAGAATAGACATCACAGAGGTTCACACAGTACCTGGCGGAGAGAGGCATCAAGAGACTCCTCTCTCTTCCCTACGCTCATCAACAGCAAGGCATGGCAGAAAGAATGAACAGGACTCTTCAGAACACCAAGCGCAAGCTGCTACGTGGCATGCAACTACCCAACCATCAGTGGCCCGAAGCAATGGACAACGCTGCGATGCTGCACAACTTGCTCTCGTCATCATCGCTCCCGAACAACGCATCACCACATCTGCTGTGGACAGGAAAACTGGGCAGCACAAAAATGTTGCGAGTTTTTGGCTGCATGGTACAGTACCGACCCCCAGCTGCATGCGCCGGTCGATTCTCCCAACGCGCACAATGGGGACTACACCTGGGCATCGAAAAACATTACAGCGCATGGAAGATTTTCGACATCAACACAAAGGAAACAGTGGCAGCACTTGATGTCATCTTCTACGAAAACCCCACTCTTCGGACATACCTTGCCAACGTGGAAGAAGGAAACCCAGACCTCTCGGGCGGATTTCTTGGCACCCGAGCCTTCGCCTCGACAGAGGATGAAGCTGACTGGGACGAGCAGAACGTGGACAGAGCCTCAGAGGAAGCCGGACCTCTCCCCTACTACTCAGTTGACGTACCAATGGACGACGAAGATCCTCGCGAAAGCATCAACGCCGAAGTTTATTATCACTTTGCTGACAACGGTTACGTTACACCTGCAAGAGTCAACACCAACGAAGCAGAACGCGTAGGACACAACTTCATACCTGATCCAGAAGCAGGAGACGAAGCCGTCTATCCCGAGGATACAACACTTCCCCGCTACACACAGAGCGGACTGCAGATACTTGGCCTCGTCACCACAGTCCACGGCTCAGCGCCACCTAAAGAGCCTGCCACAGTTCAGCAGGCTCTGGGGGGGGAACACAGGGAAAAATGGCGCGAAGCCATGGATAAAGAGTTAAAGGCGCTGGAAGAACGCAACACCTGGAAAGTCGTTCCCATTGGCGTGGCTCGTAACAAAACGGTACTCACCGGGAAATGGGTTTTCCGTGTGAAAACCAAAGCAGATGGCACCATCGACAAGTTCAAGGCGCGCTGGGTGGTACGCGGCTTTGACCAAGAGCACGGACGCGACTTCACTGAGACATTCGCGCCGGTTAGCCGACACATTTCACTACGGATTCTCCTCGCGATAGCCTCTATGAAGAACAAGAAGCTACGACAAATCGACGTCGCCAATGCTTTCCTCTACGCACCTGTTGACGCTGAGATCTTTGTCGAGCTACCACACGGCTCCAACGGAGATCTGAACCAAGTCTGCCAACTACTGAAATCTCTACACGGCATTAAGCAGGCTCCAAGACTGTGGCAGCAGTATCTACACGCTCGACTCATCCGCATCGGATTCCGCCAGCTACCGCACGACAAGGGCATGTATCGACTCACGAAGGGCACTGACTACATTCTCCTCATCGTCTACGTAGACGATCTGCTTTACATCGGTTCGACCGAAGGAATCACGGCCTGGTTCGAAGGGGAGCTGCAACGGGACCTCACGCTCACGGTTTCATCTACCGTAACGCAATACCTCGGGCTCAATATTCAGGAGGAGGAAAACGCGATCTACCTCAGCGCCGCGAAATACGCCGACACCATCGCCAAACGCTTCGAACTCACCCCAACTACTATCTCCACACCATATCG